GATTTCAAAACAGATCTATTTCATTATGAACCCAATCCTGAGAGATGCTGACTACCTCCTACATTTCAATGGACATGGAGTGCACTGGATCAGGGCCAAACAGGGTCAGTTTATTCTAAATCATGTGAAAGTATAATAGAGTTGCAATTGTTACTGGAAATGAGGAAACCTCTAACATTATATGAATAAAGTTTGTGTATAAGCCCAAACTTGTGTGATTTTTCATAATGCTCATGCTTTTCTTATGATAGTTTATACACACTTTAAACTAAATTCTCAGAATGTACTATGTATGAATGATTTCTAAAGTGGAAGCTTTTCATTCTGCTCTATTTAGGCAAAAGAATATATGATTAGTGCCATCTACTGGAAATTTGGAGTACTGGGGTACATTGTAGCAAATTCTTCCCTGCTCACCACTATATGTTCGATTAAAAAAAATACATTGAAATGTTTAATCCTATTATTTTGTATAGTTAGAAGGATGCATTTATACCTCAGGCATTAATATGTGGATTATAAAAATGCAAACAAACAAACCTTCCACCAAATTAAGAATAATAATGATATGAAAGGTATAGCGTTTATAACATAACTCAGTGTGTATCCATAAGACAAGAGCTACAATATACTGAAGATTTGGGGATTGGGAAGAATTACTCGAAATAAAAGGCAGATAGTTCTGAAAATTAACGCATGTACTATTCTGAAATGAAATTGAATGTATTTGTTTTGAAAAGCAAAAAAGTTTTCATTTGGTCCTAATCTATAAATGACAGTATATATGCACTCCATTTTATAGCACAAGCAAAGCTTAGGGGCAGTATATAGATGACATATTTGGACTGAAGCACTTATTCATAAAAGGCAGCAGCTGATTCTGGGTATCATCCAGAAAATTAAAATGGCTATAAAAATTATATTATTGTGCCCAATCCAGCAAATATTATAAGTGTGGTACTTTACTGATGTGAATAATCCCAGTTTACCAATTATAAGATAGTTTAACCACCACAACTGACTACAGCCTTGGTTTTATGCCTCATTTGAAAGATGGAACCTCTGTCAGCACACTGCTCCCTAAAATCATTTGGTGGCATTGGTTCATTAAGTGACTCATGTGAAATTATACCTCCTAAACCACTTCTTGTACCACCTAGATTTTCTTTGAAAGTTTCTATCCAACTAAAAGTAGACCTAATCCTGCTTATCTTGAGACCAGATGTGCTCACAGCACAAAGGGATACAGTAGTACATTATACATTTTGTGCAGAATATGATGGGGGGAGGGCAAAAAAATAATTTTCATAAAATGCTTGTACTTCCAAAGAAAACAGGGCACTTCTCTGTCTCTGAAGGTAAACTCAAGATCCAGTTGGACTGTGGCATTTATGCAAATGTTGCTTCTAGGACTTATTCTTGCATTTATATGATGCATCCTTCACCATTTAGTTCTGTTCCCCACCTCTACTACACATAAACAAATTGAATACAAAATTAGTCAACATTAATTTATAAGTGTCTAGGAAATTTAGTTTCCTCTTAGAACACATGAAATATGCAGTTATACATTATTCTGCTATCAGTGGATGAATTTTGTTTTATAATATACATCTATAAAGTAAAAAGAAGAACAGGAGTACTTGTGGCACCTTGCGGATACAGACTAACACGGCTGCTACTCTGAAATCTATAAAGTAGTCAGTGTAACTGATCTGTTAAAGTTTTGGTAGCTATGGATCATACAAACAGAAATAAATTGCAGAGCTATAAAAGTTATAATAAAACATGTGATATTGATTATGTCAGTGACACAGGTGACAAAATGGTTAATGCGATGCTTCATGAGCAGGTATGCACTAGAAATACTTCTGTCAGATTCTGTTCCTAACAGACCAGCTTTGAGATCTGCTTGTTAGAATAGGCACAAAATGAACAGGAAAGCTGTAAATGCCTCATTTTAAGGCAGGTCTCACCAGTGTGAGCTCACATCAAAGGTGCATAATAAGTTAGGAAATTTGCTTGTCCTCTGTTTTTAGGATTTGAAGCCTGGGTCAGCAGCACATATAATTGGAAGCAAAGATCGGGCTGACACAATGGGGTTTGTCGTCTCCTTATCAAGGTTCACTTGTAACTCCTGTTTAAGTTAATAGGAGTTATGGAAAGGAAAATAGACCCCTATGCCACAAAACTGGGGCTCAGTTTTGATAGTTCAAATAAAATTATAATCAGCTCTAGAAAAATCAATTAAACTTAAATGTTGTGTCCTATCACGAAAGCGTTTATGACACTCCTTCCATATATCAGAGGGGTAGCCGTGTTAGTCTGGATCTGTAAAAAGCAACAAAGAGTCCTGTGGCACCTTATAGACTAACCGATGTATTGGAGCATGAGCTTTCGTGGGTGAATGCCCACTTCGTCAGGCACATCATGTCATGCTAGTTAGTCTATAAGGTGCCACAGGACTCTTTGTTGCTCCTTCCATATACTATATGCTGATCTGAAATGATATTAGCAAACCGCAATGATGCTTTAATTGTTGTATTTTGTGCCTATATCCAGTGGCGATGGGTGCATAACAAATGCCCAAATTGGAACGTTACTTGGGGTTTCAATCAGTGATTATTTACAGTTGCATCTTAGTTTTTATTTTGACTTCTTAAAAAAATAATTCCGGATAGCCTTTGAATTCTAAAAATTAATCCACTAAAGTTGTCATTTCCTGTCAAATAGTCAGATCTGGTATCTTATAAAGATATTACATATGTTACTGTTTAAATGCCGATATTAAACATTTAGACTAAGGTCCTGCAGTCAGATTCACATGGATGGGCCCTTATGCCCCAATGGCCGCCTTTGCAAATCCAAATTCAGGAGTGGGGCATTACACATGAAGTGTGGTTATTCCTCTCTGCATTTTTTTAAAGGTGTATGTTTTTTCTAAAAAAGAGCAGTCGTGATGGAGCATTTTTGTTTGATTGAACTATAGTATCACATAAATAAAGTACACATTGTGAGGGGAAGAAAATTACATTACAGCTCACATCACTTCCTGCATGAACCTTTGTGTGCACTATTAATAAAAGTAAATTTACAATAAAAATTTCACACACACAAAGGAATAAATGCTGAAAAAGATTTAAATGCACTTGAACAGTATTTTGAAAACATTTTCCTAAGACACTTATTAAATAATAATATTTCATATATTAAATGCTGCTAAGCAATTTCTTATTAAAACCGTGTGCAATATGTAATACAACTGTGATTTTCAGGCTAACTGCATAGTCTGTGTCAGGGGACAGGAAGATGCTATCAAATTTGAGATATGATATCATATTGGGCAAGGAAGCTGGACAATGTTTCCAAAGCATTCTAAAATCTGGGCTATGAATACACTAAAAGCAAAGCAGTGATTTATCACAAACTTCCGGCTTCAACAGAGAACTCTAATAAATTACAACTAAATTTAGTAAACCATAGTGTATCATTTCCTGCAGCAGAGACACCCATTCCTAAAAGGGCCCTCAATATGCATGACACAACAAGCAGCACCCATTCAACCTGAGGGAAGCCCACAGGCTCGCAGGGCCACTGGCTGGCTCTTTGTCACCAAATGCAGCAGGTTGAATGCAGACATCACTGTGATATCCTCACCAACAAAACCAGAGGCAAAGAACAGGGGCAAGAGCTGAGTAGGGGAAAAAAAAAGATGAAAACATCAAAAATGTTAGATACATTCATAGCAAAACTGATGGTTATGATTCTATCTGAAAAGAAAACATAAGACTAAGAAATTCTGAATGCACATTTATTAGCTGGTTTAGCCCCTTTTTGCCTTCTGCTTTAAGCTTGTTTACATTTGTTAATTAGAATACATAGCATACAATGCTGCAGCTCTTTATGTTACCAGGCAGGGGGGAAATCTTAATGTCGTGCAATGCAGGGCAACCCAAATTTGCAATTAAAAATTTACTGAAAACACATGTCTATGTGGTGAACGCTGCAAACCAACCATTATGAAAAACTGTTCAGTTGGCTGGTTGGTTAAACAAAGCCAAACTTTATTTTAACAAAAAACTTTCCAGTTATCAGGAAAAATAATGGGAAAATCATTTCTTTAAATAAAGATAATTTATATCTTAAATTCTCCAAGGGATACATTTAAGCAATTTTCCAGCTGGCACTAATATAGAAGAGAGGGATATGGCAGTGGGGATTTTTTATTTTGTAAGATGCAACATGTGTCTATGGTGATGGTTTTGTTTACCTCACAATAGGAAGGATGAAATGCAGCTGCCTCATAGGATAGTCATTCATAGCTGCAGTCTGCTTCAGAAGATTATTGCAGTAACTGACACTGGGGACTCAAACCTACCCCCACTGAAGTCAATCGTGAAGTTCTCATTGATTTCAGTGGGAGCAGGATTAGGCCCCACAGGGTTAATGATTTGAATAACAACGCATCCCTCTCAACCTCTTCCAAGACACGTTTTTTTAAAATGGTTACAGAATGGAAATGCCCAGAAATGTACTCAGGAATGATTTTCTCTTGTACATTTCCTGAACCAGAAGAGAAGTCTGTGCATGGTCTCTTCTGACCCCTGAAGAACAAACACATAACAAACAGTAATATATATTATCACATCACTCTGGAGTGTATCTGACAGAAATCTGCTTGTATTAACATGCCTGAACTCTGACTTCTCCAAACTAAACTCACTACAAAACCAAAACATTTTTATGTTACTAAATGGAGACAAAAGAGAGAAGGAAGGTAAGTGCCACACAACGAACAGCTCGAAAGAACCATTAAACATAAATAAACATGTCATTTTCACGAGTGACTGCAGAACTGGTTAAAAAAAAATCCTCCAGAGCAGACTACTGACTAATAAAAGATCAAAGATCTATACATAATAAACAGTACAAATAAAAATGTATTTTTTTCTAGTGACCTTCACTGTGAGAAGTAAAGTGTGCAGTGAAAATGTAATTACCTAGCAAAGCTGCAGTCTTATTGTGCTCCCGCAACTGATCATAAAACGTCTTCCTATTCTGTTTCATCAACTGCAGTACCAGGCAGCCTGTGCGCCTACCAATCGCAGCCATCTGGCTTGTGTCAAAGCCTGTGAGTCAGGCAGCTACAGTGCAACAGGAAGAAAGGCAGTGATGTCACTCTGCAGGTCAGGCAAAGAACAAAGATGTATTCTACAATTAAAAAGCTGGGTGCCCCAAGAGTAGGGGTCTCCAACATGCTCTTACTGGATAACTTATAGTTAATACTGTTTTTACTATTATCTAAATAGGAGAGCACCATCTAGTGGTTATGGTTGCAAAAGGCTCTTTTAGGAAAAAATCATTCAGTTAGCAAAGACATAGCTGTGTTGCTAAGGTTAGATAATGGACTCTGAAAGTGTTAAAAAGAACTTTATACAGCAAGATGGACAAAGGGTATGGCTTGCTTTCAGTCAGTGATCTTATGCCCCTATATAGCAATTGTATCTATTACATGACACAGTCACACAAGTAAGGTGAAATGTTTAATATTTGCCAAGTTTTAGTGCTAAGGCTGAAATACTTCCTTGGACTCTCGTGAATGAATTTGGAAGTAGGAGGAAGAGAGTGAAAAGGAGAACACCATCTCTGTAGTGATTTCAAGTGTAAATTAATCAGAATTTTGTTACTTCTGAGAGATCACTGGTCTTCCCAGGCCACACCCCCACAGATGTGGTCAGTGGAGACACAAGAGCTGAAGCCCCCATTAGTATAAAGGGGGCGGTTGGCAGAGCATTCTCCATTTGATCACTGATTGGTTTCTCATTAGAATAATGTATATTGCAAATGTACACCAATTTAACAGATGCACTCCTTAGGGCCATAAGATACCATTGATTTGCATCCAGAATTTGTCAATGAAGTCAACTGGCTTCTGTAAAAACCGATTGCATAATATCGCCTTTCAGTTTTGTAAACTCCTCAGGGCAGAGACTGTGTCCACCTGCGTGGATGTGAACAGCATCTAGCAAACTGTGGGTGCTACCACAATACAAACTGTAATTCAAAGAATAAGACTAGTATCTAGTTCCTAATGTCTGCATTTACATCATTCAAATCCCAGTCCTGTGCTCATTTCTCAAGCAAAACTGCCACTAGCCTCAATGGGAACTTTGTTTCCTGTAGATATTATTTTACGTAGGCTTGGCTCATAAGAAATTCACAACATAGTACTCCTAATTTATTAAAAGTAATCTACTGAGAAAACTCTCAGTTGTTTTGGAGACCTTGGCATCAGTCAGCAATTTCTGTAGGCCAAGGTGTGATAGAAGCTACCTATACCGTGTCTGATATGTAGTTTACCAAAGATCTTCCATTGCAGCCACTTAGAAATACAACATTCTCTAACATTGTTGCACTGGGAAATAGATGATAAAAAATAAAAATACTCAATTTCACACTTTCTAAAAGAGCATCATTTGTGTTTTTTTACTTTTTACACTCTGTTCACTATTCTTTAGATGGATACGTCCCATTGGATGACAGAGGAGCTGGCACATTTGTTTGTGAGGGGAAAGGAGGGAGAAATGTTAGTCTCCACTCCTTATATTTTCCTCATGTTTCATTTTTCCTGTTGTGCCTTCCCTCTGCTTGCTTCATAAATTTGTTTCTTAACAACCTAAGGCTGTTTACCACTGCAGCACAAACTATTTTTTCCTCTTTTGTTACACATAAACAGGACTGCAACTCCCCAAAGCGTAAGCTGTTGAAAAGCTATTTAAAAACCCCAAAGATTTCAAACTAGACAGACCCTGATCACCTGAAAAAGCCAGTGTTCACCAAATTGTTGCTATTGGTCCCAGGTATCGATAAAGGATGTAAAGCTATAACTCTACAAAACCCAATAAAACTAAACTAGCATTCATTAAAAAAATACTACAGCAGAAGGCTTTCTTCTCTCTTTTGAAGTTTAAGCGCTATTTCTATTACTTGTATTGCAGCAGTTCCTAGAAGCCTAAAGCAGCACCAGGGCCCCCCTGAGCTAGGTGTTGTGCAGACACACACAAAGCCATAATCCCTGCCACACAGAATTTACAATCTAAGCTGACAAATGACGTGCAAAGGGGGATGGAGGGAAGAAGAATACAGTCAAAAGATATATAATTTTTAGCATAAGCTAATGCAAGATAAATGTGCCTAAGAAGCTGCTGTATATCCCTGCCCTGTTATTTCCAAGCAAGAGTAAGAGAGCGTGTAGTTGGAAGGAGAACAGTGGTCAGTGGCGGATTAGTCACTGGCCCAACAGGGCCTGTCCCCAGCCAATTGAAGGGCCCTGGAAAAATAGGCACCCGCGTACCCTGACCCCCCTCCCTGGCATGTTTCGGCTCAGGGGGAGCAGAACTGAACAGTTTTTCCCCTGCACTCTGGAGCCTGCCTCAGCAGCTGGACACTGCCTCCTGGGTCCTAGTGCCCTCCTGTTTCCTCTACAACCCTGATGCCCGCAGGGAGGAGAGGGGACAGAGCAGAGGGGGTGCGGGGAGAAGAAGGGGAGAAGAAAGGGAGGAGAAGAAAAGAAGATACGGGAATGGGCGGTGGGGAGCAGAAACCCAGCATGTGGCGTTCCCTGGGCAGCAGCAGCCCCAGCAGGGAGGCAACCACTGCAGCACCAGAGCAAGGACATCTCTGCAGCAGCCGATGCCAGAGTGGTTCCAGCAGCAGCTGGGGCTCCCCCGTTATGCCATCCTGTCTCCGCCATCCTGTCTCCTCCCTCCCTCTCCCCTCCCCCAGCACTGGCAGCCCAGGTATTGCTGTAGATGGGAGGAGAGATCCAGTGAACCAAGGGGACTGGCTTCAGTGTGCACGTGCGCACGCATGTGTGGGCACACTTTGTCCCCCCAAACATAGCAGTCAAACTACACTTATGGCCCCGGGACTGGAGGAGCTCTGGCTCCCTCCTGTGGCCTCAGGGCTGGGGAAGCTCTCACTGCCCGCTGTGGCCCAGGGCCATGGTGGGGGAGGGGCAGAGCTTTCTCCGGTGTTGGGGCTGCAGTGGGGGAGTGGGGGCAGAAAGGAGCAAGGTTGCAGAGCAGCAATGGGGGGGCAGAATGGGGCTGACTGTGCGTGAAATGGGGCAGGGCAGCGGGGGAAGGGGCAGAATGGGGTGAGGCCATGGGCAGGGCTGCAGACGGAAGGGGCAGAACGGGGGGCGGGACTGCAGGCAGAAGGGGTGGGGAGGGGCTCCCCACTTGCTCTGGCCCAGGGCCCCACGAAACCTTAATCCATCTCTGATAGTGGTAACATAACTGGATATCAGTTAAATCTCTTGATCCTGTTTCTACTTTGCCATAGACTTCAACAGGTTCAGAATCAGACCTGCAACTTGGATTTCTAAAATAAGAAGTCAGGCCACTACAAGGAACTTAGGAGGAAACCACTGTTCCAGTATCTTTAATGCCAATTACCATTCTTGGGGAGAGATTTTACGCTGTGCCTCTAGACCAGTGGCTCTCAACCTTTCCAGACTACTGTACTCCTTTCAGGAGTATGATTTGTCTTGCATAACCCAAGTTTCACCTCACTTAAAAACTACTTGCTTACAAAAGCAGACATAAAAATACAAAAGTGTCACAGCATGCTCTTACTGAAAAATTGCTCACACTCTCATTTTGTCTGTATGAAATTTTAGTTTGTACTGACTTCACCAGTGCTTTTTATGTAGCCTGTTGTAAAACTAGGCAAATATCTAGATGAGTTGATGTACCCCCTGGAAGACGTCTGTATATCCCCAGGGGTATGCGTATCCGCCACTTCTCTAAGGGGTGCACAGAATGCTTAGCCCAGGGAGAGGGTAGGTAAAATGGTTTTCAGCCACCTTTGCACTCTCCCAGTCCTGGACTGTTCTGCGGCCTGAAGAGACCCCCAGCATAATGCAGGCAGCTCAGGGGGGCCTGTTTAAGTTATAGCAGCCTCCCAGGGCTTCCCTATGGACTGCAGCACTGTGAAGAATCTCTGCAGTGCTGTGTGCTACAGCTGTACCCGACACCCCCCTCCCACCCTATGCACTGAACACATCCCTTACACCAAGGCTTCTCTCCCAACTGGAACCAGAGTTTTAGGTAGGTTTGCCAACTTTCTACTCGCACAAAACTGAACACCCTTGCCCTGACCCACCACTCCTCCGAGGCCACTACCCTGCCCTGTCCCTTCTCCGAGGCCCCACCTCCGATCACTCCATCCCCCCTCCCTCGTCGCTCACTCTCCCCCACCCTCATTCAGTCGCTCATTTTCACCGGGCTGGCTCAGGGGGTTGGGGTGCGGCAGGTAGTGAGGGCTCCAGCTGGGGGTGCAGGCTCTGGTGTGGAGCTGGGGATGAGGGATTTGGGGTGCAGGAGGGTGCTCCAGGCCAGGACTGAGGGGTTTGGAGGACGGGAAGGGATCAGAGATGGGGCAAGGGGTTGGAGCACAGGAGGGGATCAGGGATGCAGGTTCCAGGTGGCGCTTACCTCAGGCGGCTCCCAGAAGCAGCGGCATGTCCCCCCTCCAGCTCCTACGTGGAGGAGGTGCCAGGCAGCTCTGCACACTGCCCCATCCACTGGCGCAACCCCCACAGCTCCCATTGGCCAGGGTTCCTGTCCAATGGGAGTTGTAGAGTGGCGCTTGTGGCGGGGACAGCACACGGAGCTCCCTGGCTGCCCCTATGCCTAGGAGCCAGAGGCGGTATATGCCACTGCTTTCGGGAGCCGCGCGGAGCCGCTGGGAGCCTGCCTTAGCCCCGCTGCGCCGCCAACTGGACTTTTAATGGCCCGGTCAGCGGTGCTGACCAGTGCCGCCAGGATAGCTGTTCAACTGGGTGTTCCGGTCGAAAACCAGATACCTATCAATCCTAGTTTTAGGGCCCCTTTCATCTGGAGCAAAGGGGCATAAGCAGGGGTGTGGATCTCCCTCTTGGTGTTTGAGCAGTCTTGTTAGATTGGCTCTCATCTCCAAACACAGTGCCCATGTTCTATCTTGTTAACCATCTAAATACAGTAAATCACAAATTCCACTAGCTCCTGCATTGTCTTACTAAATCATTAGATGGGATCTGGAAACCTTTTGTTTGTATTATTAACTCAAACAATAGCTTCAGGAAAACCTTACTTTTCCGATTTTGAAATGAAAAGGTGACACTGCAGTGCTGTCAACTCTCACTACTTCAGTATGGTCAATTCTAAATGTTCAAAAATCATGAGTCAAGTCCCCAGAATCATGAGTATGGCTTAAAAATCATGAGACCTGTTAAAAAAAAATGCAGGGGTTCTGTTTTAATTTGCCTTCTAGATTTTGAGTCTTTTGGGTACAGCTGGGTAATATTTTTACAAGGTGTTAGCTCTACAACTATGAAGGCTAGAAACATATGTTTTTAAAAAAATGAGAGCTGAGACTCTCATATTATCATATGGTTCTGACAGCTGGCGCTATAGGTAAAATATCAAGAATCTCGAGACTTACAACAAAATCACATGAGTTGTCAATATTATAATTATCTTGTGACTCCTGCAATGTTAGGTGTTTTTCTGAAAGCCACAGCTCCTAGAATCCTGTTATTATGCAAGTATAACTCTTAATTAAAAAAAAAAAATTCTAGCCCTCACGACTGCAGGCAGTTCCTCTCTTTCTTCTACCTTTTCATTTTAAACTTTATTCTTTAGCTGTACAAAGATTACATTGTAAACTCTTGGGGAAGGTGTGTGTGTGTATGTGTGTGTGTGTGTACAGTGCCAAGCATAATGAAGTCCAAATCCTTGAGCGGGTCCTTATATCACTTCTCCTGGCCCTTCCCCCTGGTTCAGTCACCTACTCAGCTACCTACGCATGAAGCCTGTTAGAACTTAGCACCTCATAGTATATGAGCTATATGAAGGCAGCAGCTCCTCCTCCATGTTCCAGTTTTTGCAACTCACCCTTTACCTTTCCTTCCCTGTGTTCTGTGTCCCCCTTCACCTGCCTCCACCAAGCTCCAAAGAGGCCTGTTTTATGTCCATGTATATTAAATTAACTGGTATTGTACAGTATGAATATGTCAGGGGCCTTCTAAGACATTGCAACAATTCCAGCGGAACAAGAAGGTTCTCATGTGAGAGAAACCCAAATAACTAGAAATATTAAGATGGTACACAAATCAATGAGTTGAAAGCGTTATGGTAGAAGCTTAACTGAGCTCAGGGAATCACAGAAGTTAGAGATGGAAAAGAGATTTTTTTTGGAAGGTCATCCACTCCACCTCACTGCCAATGCATGACTGTTCCTTACAGGACATTTACTAGTGCCTGGGCATTTCCAATTTTAAATGTCCCAAACAATGAGGTTTTCACCTCTTTCTTAGGTATCTCAAGCAATGTGGCTTCTATCTATTTCCTAGACTTTGAGTTTGTAGGCTGTTCCCATAAAGTTGAATTTCAAAAGTGTTCTGACAAATTTAAGCCCAAAAACTATTTCAGAGTTTTTGTTTTGCTTCGTTTTCTAATTAAGTGCCTTAACAACTCTGTACCAAATGCTCGATGACATGATTGAGAGTGGTATTTAACGTATACAATTATTCCAGCCCTCCCTCGTGAATAATTTAAAAAGACTTTTTAGCTATTGCACAGTCCTCCCCAGTCACTCACAATCACTCAAGGGCTTACGTATGTAGAACTCTGACATGCCACAACTATCAGAAATTTGGAGGGAGCATTGGAAATTGTCTATGGAAATTCAGGTAAGTGGAAATTTTTAAGTGCGTCACATAATTTTTGAATTTTTAAATAATTATTTTGTACTTTTGGTATAAAAATGGTACTTTTAGACTAAAGTATGTTTCAGCTCTTACTCCTACCATACTTGAGGCATTCAGAACATAATTGTAAAGTTACATTTCAAAAACCTTTGAAATTCACCTTTATGAGAGGTCTTAGGCACTAGATTTTCATGTAAAAGCAGCAAAGAGTCCTGTGGCACCTTATAGACTAATTGGAGCATGAGCTTTCGTGAGTGAATACCCACTTCGTCGGATGCATGTCTAGATTTTCATGTGTTTGTAAAATATATCAATTGATAATGTAAATTGCACATGTTCCAGATTTTCTATTAAAATCCCTGGCAAGAACTGCTGCATGATAGGAGTAAGGTATTCCAAATCATTAATAGTTAACAGCATGCACCCATATATCACTTGTAACGTTGGTGTTCATAAAATCAAGGGTCTGCTGTACAATACATTTCAGAAACTTACATAGTCTAACATAATGGTCTTTACAGTTAAGCAAGTCCTTTAAATTATTAAATACAGGCCAGATTCTAAAACTTTTACTCACATTGAGTAGTTCCTTACTTCTTGTGTAATTCTACTGATTTCAATGGCTCTGGTAAAGTAAGAAAATATTCACTGTAATCAAAGGTGTCAGACTCCAGTTCTGTGAGGTATCTGTACATTTCCTTTCTAGATATCAGGATAACAATTCTAGTTTTGATGTAAGTGATTTCTCTGTATAATAGGAAAATTACATTTGATTTGAGGAAGTCATAAAGTGACAAAATTTGTACTTAGTTACTGAACTCAGTTAAAGCTTCTTTCTGGTAACAGCTGTAAGAGATGGGGAGTTCATGACCCTTTGCCATCTGATTCTGATATTCTTGTTTGCTAAGTTGTTCACTTTAACATCTGTCTGTGTATTCCAAAGGTCAGCTTTCTGAATTGTTGGTATGACAAAAGAAATATAAATATACCCCAGGAACAAATAAAAAATGATGTGGGAAGGGTAAGAGGAAGTTCAAAATAAACTGACTCTTTTGGATTCTAGACCACTAATAAAAATGGAAAATAAAAGCACATTATCATTCCTCTTTTACAACTACTCCTGCTTCCTACCTTCAGGGAGATGCCACAGCATTGATTCCTCATTATTTTGTTACCTAACTTTGGTATACAGCACCCTGGGGCGGCACCAGGCACCAGTGCACTAAGAACGTGCCTGGGGCGGCAAGCCACAGGGAGAGGCCTGCCGGTCGCCATGAGGGCGGCAGTCAGGCTGCCTTCGGCGGCATGCCTGCGGGAGGTCCACCGGTCCCGTGGTTTCAGCGGCAATTCGGCGGCAGGGATGCTGAAGGCGCAGGACCGGTGGACCTCCCGCAGGCATGTCGCCGAATCCGCGTTACCAGCGGACCTCCCGCAGGCATGCCGCCGAATCTGCGTTACCAGCGAACCTCCCGCAGGCATGCCGCCGAAGGCTGCCTGACTGCCGTGCTTGGGGTAGCAAAATACATAGAGCCGCCCCTGACAGCACCATAGCTAAGACGCTGCACTTCTCTAAAGAATTTTACAGGCTAAATTGCCAGTTCCCAAACTGTGGATCACATATCACTTGCTAGTGGTTCAAGGAGGGCTTAGATGATGTATTAGGCATGGCCAAACCACAGCCTGTGAGCCGCATGCAGCTCTTTTACAGCTACGTTGTGGCTCACGGAGGCTCCCCCCCCCCCCATGTTCCTTCCCATTCTCCACCAGAATGGGGGCTAGGGGGCTTTAGGCTTCCGCCCTGAAGCCAAGTGATGGGGCGAGGGGCTTCTGCCCTGTAGGGAGGGAGGTCTCAGGGCTTTAGTCCCGTATCCCAGGAGGCACTGCCCTGCGAGGCAGGTTGTGCGTGTCTTGCGGCTCTTGAACTTCTGTAGATTATTGTATGCGGCTCAGAGGGTCAGTAAGTTTGGCCACCCCTGCTATATATGTTGGGCTGCCTTCTCCTCCTTGTTTTAACCTATAGTGAAGGCTCTTGCCTGAAGGCCTGAAAAAAGGATGGAAACAAGAAGCAGGAGCTAATCTAGCTGCTTCTAGTAGAGGCCACTGCTAAAAGAGGAGAGGAAACAGAGCACTGCACTCTGCAACCAGAGTCAATTGTTGGGGACTGGAACTGGAACCAGCAACAGAGAGTTATCCAGGGGAGGTCTACTCACCCTAGCCCAGGGGTGAAAGTAACTTAAAGGACTTACCGGTATGCCAGAGTCCTGGGCAGGGGCATGGTTTCAACTGGAAGAGGTGGGGCCTTTCAAGATTTAAAGGCCCTGGTGCTGTGGCTGTGAGCCCCAGGGCCTTTAAATCATCCCGGAGCTACCAGCTGCAGAGGCGGCTGGGAGCCCCGGGGCTCAGGGGCAAATTAAAGGGCCCGGGACTCCGGCCGCCGCAGAGCTTCAGGCCCTTTAAATCACCGCAGGAGCCCTGCCGCTGCGGGGAGCCCCGTGCCCTTTAAAGCGCTGCCAGAGCCCTGCCGCCACTGCCCTGGGGTAGCGGCGGCAGGGCTCTGGTGGGGATTTAAAGGGCCTGGGGTTCCCTGCAGTGGCAGGAGCACCGGGCCCTTTAAATCCCCCCAAGCCCGGCTGCAGGAGCCCCGGGGCTCCGGCAGTGATTTAAAGGGCCAGAGGTTCTGGCCGCTGCGGGGAGCCCTGGGCCCTTTAAAGCGCCACCGGAGCTCCAGCAGCAGGGCTCGGGCAGCGCTTTAAAGGGTCCGGGGCTCCCCACAGGGGCCGGAGCTCTGGGCCCTTTAAATACCTGCCCGAGCCTGGCTGCCGGAGCTCTGGCTGGAGCCCTGGGCCTTTTAAATCACCGCTGGAGAAGCCGGTCCAGTCCGGCACAGCATACCGGCTCTTGCCGGTATGCCGTACCGGACTGGACCGGTTTACTTTCACCTCTGCCCCAGCCCCAGCCAGAGCTCTTAACTGCAACAGCTTGAGTGTAATATGGGATGAGTTCAGAAGCTGGGAGCAACACAGCCTTTGGGGCTGGGAGTTTGTTTATAACAGAGGCAGGTGATAAGGATAACAAAAGGCTTGTCATTAAAGTAAATTAAGGATCCTTAGATGATCCTGAAAGCACTGCCAGGGACTTCAGTTAAAAGACAGGAAACAAAGGGTAGGAATAAAAGGTGAGAGTGGAGACAGGTAAACAGTGATGTCCATCAGGGGTCTGTACTGGGACCAGTCCTATTCAGCTCCTATAGAGCTCTGTTATATTTTTATTTTCCCGAACTTGGCAGCGTACCAACATATAGCACATTCCTTTTATGGCAGTAAGTTTATAACTGCAACAGACTTAAATAGACTTTTTTTTAAAGTTACAATCCTTTCAACATCTTGAGAAATATCCCTAATCTTTTCCATTCCAGGACTGACCTTCATAGTGCACCAGCGAAGATTAAATGGCTTCTGGTGCTCAGAGGACATGATGCATGTATTCTGAAAGCACACTTTTAATTTAATAATTCCTACTGGCTAGCTTGCTAGCCTGCCATTTTGTTCACTGATTAAGGATGGAATTTCTATCCTGCTCTTCAGAAATGACTTCATATTTTATCTTCTGAGAAAACAGACCAGTTCTGAAGTTTCACCCCGTGAGTGAAGATTAAACAGATGTATTTATTTTTTGAGACTCTATTGTGGTATATGTTGTTTGTCTAAAGAGTGGTACATGGTATGTATGTAAAATGGTGATGTGTGTCAAGTGAAACATGTTGTATAATAAACCACAGTAAAGAACGATATGTAATAAAATTCTCATACTTTAATTACCACTCATAAAAATGTTTTAAAATGACCTGGTTAGAAGACCAGTGAGGCCCCATTCTTGTCAATTCTCCCATTGTGACAAGGACTGCCATAAGGTTTGACACAATCCTGTGAAGTAGCATTTTTGTCCCCATTTTACAAGTGGGCAAACAGCCCAGCACAGTGACATTAAGTGATTTGCCAAAACAGCGGCAGAGCTGAAATTAAAACTCAAGAGTTCATTGTTCCCAGTCCTAAACTCTGTGTACAAGATTACGGCACTGCTGCCTTCTGCTGTACTCCGTGTACTCTGGAAAAAGTACTAAACTCTTTAACAGGTTAATTAAGCATTATATCTCATTTGGAGCACTTTGACAGCTCCAAAAGGCCCCAGTTGGGATCTCAGCCACATTGTGCTAGGCATTATGTGAGTGAGGAATTATTTTCATTAATGACTAGCACTAGGATTTGCAAAGGAGCCTAAGGAAGTAGGCCAACTTTTACCCAACATCACTGGGACCTAAATGGGACTTTTAAGTTCAAGTCTGGAGGAAGTACACTGCTTTGAAAGAATACTCTTGCATGTTTGTATTGCTTTTGTCTAAAATAAATGAGTATGTGACGGCTTACTATGGAAGCTAATTTACAGCTTGCTGAACGTGCGCAGATATCCCTAGGTGGCTGAGCAATATGCAGAGCTGCCCATGCAGATGCTTTATTTTAATAAAATATGCATCAATAAGGCAGTCAGTCACTTTTCATGACCCCCTTTGTGATGCACTGCAGGACAACCAAGAGAAGACAAAATTGAAAGAAGAAACACAGAAGGAAGAAAAAATTAATACTTTGATAGGACCAGCTCCCCAAATGCATCAAAGCGTTCCTCAGCCAGGCTGAGAACACAGATGGATTCACACCACCTTTCCACCCTCAGATCCTGAGGGCTGCTCGAGCCAAACTTGTGCCCAGGACTAGCATCTCCCAAAGAGCCCCAGCCTAGATTGTCCCAACACACCACAGAACATCCTCTATGCAGAATCAGTTACTACTGCTATATCATGGTGCCTTTGGGAAACTTCTAACAAATAATCATTAGGTATATAGCCAGAAGAGACTTGGGATATATTTTTATTAATACTTTATAAATTAAAATAATTGATTTTAAACAAAATGTGATACATCTTAATACATTAAATGATCATGCCCTCCAATGGAGAAGCTGATTTTCCTAGAGACACCATGACACACATCTATATATCAGAAATCAGTCCTATGTAATTTCATTCGGTACCTGATTCTTTAACATAATCACTATTTTCTTTTAGCTTCATATTATCTCCTTGTTCTTCTGCAGTTTGCTACTTTTTTAAAATTTAGAATAGATAACAAGTATATTTAAAATTCTCAGTCACAACCATGAACCAGTGTGACCCAAGCACCCTGCATTCACACCACACACACTACTACAATGATACTTGAATAAAATATGCCCTGTGAGGTACCATATGAAAGCTAATAGCATGCTGGTTATTAATGCATGTGTTAATGTTTGATATGAAGTTATGATTTCCCTGTTTATGATGTTACTAAAACATGTTTAAGACCACAAAGACTAACCTACATATAGGCAATAAGCAGGTCTGTCCTAGACAAAGGAATGTGGGCTTCCCTCAATTTACATATGAGCCATAAACAAAACTGTCGAGCTAAACCAGCAAGGGTTATCCTGAGCCTGAACTCAAGAGACAGAAAATTAACATGGCTCCTTTTCCCCAGAGACACACGGGAGACTGAATCCCCAGGATGCCTTCCTGACTTGTAAGACTAAGAC